AAGAAAAAGAAATACTTTACCTTGAGTCCATATTGCGCTAGCCAAAGATACAAAATAGAAAGGAATACAGAGGATAAAAACTTGTCTCGTCAACAATCGACCCTCAGCTCAAAGTGCGGGAACTTGTAACAAGATATGCAAATATTAGCCACTGACGTATAAACAGCGCTTTGACACAAAACAGGCATGAGTTGATAGTCAAAAATAAGTAAAAGTGCTCTCCTTAATTTTGCACATCAATTATCAAAAGTACATTTATTTGAACATGAGTTACTAGAATGGAAATAAATGCGTTGCAGTTCTATGAGGTAGAGAAAAATTACAAATGACGGCCTTTATGACATTCAATCCCCGGAAATGACCTCATTTACATCAACTCTTCCTGGCACTGAGTTCATCGGTTATGGATCCATTCTTTGCAGTTCATAAAATACTGATGGGGATTGCTCTGGAAATAAGGAAAGGCAAACGCCTGTTCTTAAACTAATTCAGTTCCTGTTTCAAAGTAATATCTGATAACAGATTTCCTAGCCGTCTTGTACCGCCGCTCCCGTGATGGAAGAAACTATAAGAGGTAATTAACATTTATCACAGCCTTTAATATTAGAAATATTACTTATTAAATAATGCTATTTCTATTCAGTAATTTTATAAAATAATTACCAGCAAATGAAGCAATGTTAACATTATGCTTTTCAATGCATGTTTCCTGTCCTTGTTTTAATTTGATAGTTATCCTGGTGAAACTTGCTGGATCATGCTTCTTGAATTCTGCATTCATCCCATCCAATGCAAGTACTTGATAAGATAGCAGACCTACTGAACTAAGAAGCTGTTCAGTGTTTCTTAGCTCACAGTGTAGAGCACATAGATTAATGGAAGATAAATCCTCTTCAAAAAGAAATACCAAATCCTCTCGAATGGCTTTAAATCTATAAAGAAATTGATAATATATTTAAAAGAATCCATTAATTAAAACATTCACATTAACATCCATTAATTAAAAAAACATTATTTGAACTGATCATTGACTGGGGTTTAAATTGATTTAATAGTATGCAATTAACAATTTCATCGGTGCTAGCCGTAAATGTATACTGACCCTCCTATATTCAAAAACTTAACAGTCGGGTTGTGATGTTTCCATCATAAGAAGGAAGCTGCGCTGCTTCCGCTTTCACCGTAGACTTTGGTGGAGAATGTGGAACTTCTGCAACCGTCTCCTTGGGCAGCGAGTTGAGATGCCTCCGTTTTCGTCGTGTCTCACCATTTGAGGTTGAGATGATGTAGCTCCTTTCACCGAACTCCTTTTGAACTGTAGCTGTAGATTTCATTTGTGGAAGATACACTTGGTCGCCTTCCGCCAATAAAGGAGTTAGATCCTTGACTCTATGACGTGAGTCATAGTTTTCCTTCTGTCGCTGTTTAAGTTCAGAGTCCTTCTTGTTAAGACTTTCAGACGGGACCACCGTAGGTTTTAGCTTGCAGGGATGCACTGGAACTGTCGTCCGTAGATTACGAGACATAAGAAGTTGTGCAGGACTAYACCCTTGTTCTAACGGTGTTGAACGGTATGCCAATAAAGCTAASTGAGGATCAGCGCACTTTTCAAATAGACTTTTCACAGTCTGAACRGCACGTTCGGCTTCTCCGTTGGCTTGCGCGTAACGGGGACTACTAGTGACATGAGTAAATCTGTAGTACTTTGCAAAGTTCACATAGTCCTTTGATGCATAATTAGGTCCGTTATCATTGATGAGCTTCTCTGGAATGCCGAAGCGACTGAATATGGTTTTCAAGTTTGCAATGATACTTTGTGACGTAGTGCTGGTCAGTTGAGACACTTCCATGTAGCGGGAGTAATAGTCTGTCACTAGTAGGTAGGTCTTTCCTTTCCAGAAGAGTTGATCTGAGGCTACTTTTTGCCATGGGTAGTCTGGTAGCTCTGATGCAATCATGGGCTCGACATGGTTTTTTAACTCGGAGATTGCGCTAGCAATCGTAGAGTTATTGGGAGGGGACAAGCTGTCACTCGCTCGCTCGATCACTTTCCTGTAAACTCGAGCCTGCGATGTTTTTGTCAGCAGTTATTCATTTAATGATATTAATATATTCTACTCATTCTACTTACTTGCTCTAAATGATCTCCCTGTGCTTTTCGATTAATCATTGTTTATTATTATTATATTCTCTACTTTGGTTACTATAGTAACTTCTATATTATGAAATTCATTTTAGACGGTCCGCCTCTGTTGTTTCAGCTACGAAATAAAATTCATGTTCCCACCAGGTTTCGAACCCGCGACCTCTGAATTGTACGCCAAGCGCCTTAACCGATTGTGCCACGGTGACACTTTGAGCAATCTTGGCGTGTTTTAGTAGTTTTATAGGGAGCGCCGCTGTTCGAGTCCGGCTTGAGACAGGACATTTTTTTCTTTTTTTCTTTTTGATGTTTTGGAGATTCTCTTTTCTTTTTCTCCTTTTTCTAATAATAACAAACATGTTTCTGCATAAAGTTTTGTTTTTAAGAAATTCTTTTAATTTCTGCGATCGGTAAATAAAATAAGGTTCACCATGATGGTTTCCTGTGTTATATGCTGTGGATTCAATCAATATTTGCCGAAAACAACTGACCCATCGCACTAACTTAAAAACCTGGATTCAAGAGGAGAAAAAATTGTAAAAATTATATTGTTTGACGTAGAATTGTACCGATTGCAATAAGTTTTGACTGGGTTTTCGCTTCGAGTACGTGTCAACATGGCGTCTCTGCTAAAAGTAGCTTTCACGGCCTTATAAATAAACTTCAAGCAAATGGACGGTTTCTATTCCGCTTTAGACTTCAAGGTAAGATAATAATGTACAAAGCTTAGCAATGACATACTTAAATCTTAAGTTTATCATATGAATTACAAATCAAACTTTTTAGGCTGTGTCAACCTGCCCGTGAGTATTCATTGTTTTCAAATAATTAGCTTACGTACCGAGACTAAATCATTAATTTCATCGCTAAACCCAACCCAAACCTTACCCTAAACCTAACCTAGAGCTAACCAAGGACTTTTGTTCAGTAATTCTGTATTTTTTTTTTCGCAAACGGACATTTTGACTTCCACTATTTACACGGCAGCCAGGCATGTAAGTTGAGACAGACACTTCGAACTTTATGTCGCCTTTGTTAATTTA